GTTGGTGATGTGGTCGATCGTGGATCTTCTGCAACTGTCATTCATTGCAAATGCCACGGCAAAGTGATCTTCACTTCAATATTCGCTTTCTTTTATATACCATTCTACTCATGGGACTTTCGATTTCATTTCTAGTTCTTATGGTATGTAGCTTTTCTCGGTTTTATTATTTCACATCAAACCATTCTGGTAATTTGTTGTTGTTGTTGTTCAATTGCAATAACTCGACTAGGGATCCACCAGTGTCCCCATGTCTAATGCTTGTTAAAGTTCGTTTGTTTCTCAACAAAATTGGTAAATGGTGTCTACTATATATTTAACTGTTCTGAAAATAGAAAAATATGTTGTCATTAATAAATATAAATGAAATTAATCTGAACAAAATTTTATTTATAATTATTATGTTCTGTATAATTATCTACATCCTATTTTTTCAATTCTTACAAGATTTTTGTCTAATTAAAATAAAATTGCTAAAAAACAAAACTCGTTGCATTATTCTTTTTAAAAATTTAACTAATGATTTTATTAAATTTTCAATTGTGGAAATCCAATTAACCTGTTTGCAATAAAAACCACGGCTCTCCATATATAGTGAAGGAAAGAAGCATGACAGAAGCGACTGTTGCACGAGGCACAACCGCAAACCACACGTGTTGGGTGATTGCAAAACAAAGGAAAAAACGCTGGCCAATGCAAACGATGGTGTGGACTGGACTGCAAGCGTACCAAAAAATCCTTCAATTTTCGTTTCCAGTTTTTCCATTGGTTGTAAACTACGAGATTTTTTTAATACCAATAAGTACTATCAGTTCTCTCAATTTTTGGCACAATAATTGGTGCAATTGATACGAGTAAGAGTTATATTTATTTATCTTCAAGGTTGACATACTGACATTCAAATGCAAAGTAAAGTAAAATAAACTACGGATAATAACCTCTATACTCGAGGAGTATAGAGGTTACTAATATATTAGTGAGATACAATATAAGGGATTGTAATAAAATCAAGTTACAAAAATATAACTTCAGAACTATTTTAATGTACTCTGTTTAAGTTTCAGTTTTACTGCTATTAAGTAAAACTGCTATTGCATTGATAAATATTTGATTACAATAGATTAAACCAAAAAAGGCATTTTATTTAAAAAAAACACCCCTGCGAAGTGATAATACTGAGCAACTCTTTCCCCTACAGTATATACCGATACAGTTAGAAATGCATATTTAGTTTCGGATCGATTATACAAACAAAATTAACCACGCCATCTAGCGGCAATAGGCACCCAAAGTTTTAATACAGATTAATGAGTTTCAATTTGAAATTAAAAGTTTTAAAGGCACCTATATCAAAATTCAAGCTATGTCGATGTAGATATTATCAGGTGTAAAAATTTTCTTCGAATAGCTGATTCTTCATTGACATCTAAGAAGTTGTAGTTGCGCCGAAAGAGCGGTCATGAATACGGCAAAGACATAAATATTATGTCTGATTAAATCAGCGAAATTGTAATATTTTATTAACCAAAATACATGAAATATTAAGAATGCCTTATCATAATGTACTGCATCTATTGGTGGAACGTATCTCATCGCATCTGTTGGTACGTACGTTTCGAATTAAATAATTTAAGCAACTTATAATCTAATCAAAAATATTTTAAATTTATTTACAATTTTTTATATATGTGAAATACGGGCAACGGTAAATTAAGAAACCTCAGCCAAATATTATTCATAGTCTACGGATTCCATTGTTTATGCAATTGAAATTTAACCAATAGTAATGCAAATTATGGAGAATTTGCTCTAATTGAATGTAGCCATTCATAACCAAGTATATATATTATAAGTCAGGTACAATTTCAATTAAAATCAATAAACTGTAGGGTTGTAACCGCAATTATCACATGTGCTAATTTGCATAATTATCCCGTATTGGTTTGCAGGAGGTCAGGAGGATATGACTGCATTATTGTGGCACTAAGGATATTTTGAACATAAATATAATCACTATATTGGCATATTAATCAAATAGAATTTAGAGCAATAAAATTAAGATATTAATTCATTTTTGTTAAATCGATTTTCTTCAACCAAATTATTTACAAGATTATTTAAAGAAAAAGGATATAAATACATATGCTTAACTTGTACTAGATTCTGAATTACGAAAGTTTAGTTTTGTAAAGCATTCATTTACATTGATTTTCTCACATAAAATTTTAATGGTCAATATATTTCATCAATACGTGAAATCACACAACCCAGAAATTTCTCTTCAATGAAGTCCAAACAATATCGTCCTATTTATGCCACATATGCTTCAAATTTAAATGTTCAAAATCACGCCAAAAAATAATGATCATGTGACTGTAGTGATCAAAATAGATTGTTTGTATTACTCTTTCATCATTTTTAAAAATTTGTTGGCCTATCACACATTGTAACCAAAAACCATACCTATTATTAATTTTTTGTGGATGCAATGACCTTTCGATAATTACTTGTGGATGTCAACTATCCAAGTTATATCCAGCTAACAAAATATAAGCGTCTTTACTGAAAAAATTTCTATATGAAGCATATTCAACATTTTTCTAATAAGTTTTTATAGTTACATTACGTTCAGCGGTTGTTAAACGGTGCATATTGTTAAATTGCAGTTGATGACTTAAACTAAACATATGTTGCCTTAGTTAGCAATTATGTTTGACATACAAGTATGTTATTGAAACTGTACTGCCATATAAATATGTGTAACTCTTTATAATAAGAGTTAATAAAAGTTTTAGTTATATATCACCACATTAATTACAGAGCTAGTTAAAATCCCTCTTCACAGGCAAATACTTAAACCAAAACAATAGTATGCTTTCCTATACGCAAACTTTTAGGTCATTTTAACTGAATGGTTTTATCGCCTCAGTAAGTCGACTGAATTCACGAAATCCAGAAAAAATTACCCTAAGTACATATTCAAAACTCCCTTGTATTAAAAAACTCTGGCATACGAGTACAAAGAATATTATTGTCATCGTTACCAAGTGCATCATTGTTAGGTCGTCTAAGCAATTTAGGAAAATATCTGGTTGTTCCAACAATTCGTTACCTCCGCTATTAAGAATTTCAGTAACAGAGGGCAGATTTGATGCTACTTGAAACAAAGAAAGGAGATTCTCCGACACCATGTTCTTGCTTCCAGTGTCGTCCAAATGAGGCTGACCTGAAGAAAAAAGTAATGCTGCGAGTTGTTACAAATTGCTGTTAATGAGCAATTAGAGATAATTACAGATTTCTAGAATCAAATTATACTTGTTAAGATATTACATAGTTTTTGTGAACTATATTACTTTTATGATTTTCTAAACTATTTTATATGAGAAGCCAAGAAAAAAAAAATGATTTCGGAGGCATTTTTTGCAGATACTTTGCAAAAAATAAAATTATTCCTGTGATGTATTTTTACAACCATGAAAATTATTAAAAAACTTTTCTGCTAATAAAAAATAACTTTTGATTTCTTTGAGGCAAACGGAGAAGCAGAACGAAGTGAAACAAAGCCCAGGCCAAAATGAATTCAAAGTGAAAACCTTTCACCTTTTACGTTTTACATTTCCAACTGAGTTGTTACTGAAAGGAAGCAACCGAAACTGTTTTTTTAAACTTTTCGAAAAATTTCTCAGCACCGTTCAGCTCCGCTCAGCATCGGCAGAAGATGGCGAAAAAATGAAAGATACTTTGGAAATTGCTTTGTACTGAAACGCCTACGGTTGTTCAAAACGTTGGCTGTAATTGATTTTGCTGATGGCTGAAATTTAATAAAACTCAGTGCAGTAAAAGTAGAATTATGATAACTTTGGTACAAAATATCTGAAGAGTTTTATTCATAAAATAAAAAGTTTATAAATTTATTTCCTTCTGGTAGTGTATGTAACGCAAAGCAATAAATTGTTAAACGAAATTCCGCTTAGGTGCAATTTCATATGCAGGCAAATTTTACTCATAAATAATGGTAGTAACGATTTCTGCTACTCAAACTGATTGTGTTTTTAAAATATTAAAAAAGTTTTCACAATTCTATTATAAAAATTATCGTTTGATAATATGGCCATACGAATTTGACACAAAAATGCTTCAGGAATTGATGCGATTTTTAAATTTTTGCTTCAAACAAAATCCTTGCACAACTGCTTTTGAGCTGTTAAACTTTTGATCATAATTAGAAATAATATTAATAAGAATATATTTATATGTATATATGATAGTGGATCATAACAAGATCATATCAATATGTTTAACACGACACGAAAAGTGTTCAACACGTTTAATATAAAGGTAAACGTACTAAACTTCATCTTATCTTAATTTAATATAATTTCTCCAATGATGCTCCAACACTAATCCCTCTCGCAGTGGAATATGAGAAAAAGATCTTCTAAGACATCAAATTTGAGCTAAGCATTGAAGTAAAGAGGACCCTTTCAAATCTTGAAAGAATTAAAATATAAATTTCTTGGTGTCCAAAAAATCAAAAAAAATCGGAAGCGAACCGACATATTTTTTTTATTTTGAATCGGAACGCAAAAAATTTCGGTTCGAAGCCCTAATCGCAACTATCAGAAATTTGTCGTATCATCGAATTGACGTTAAAAAGAGTTCTGTTCTTATGTCAGTGTGGCCGTGTAGACATATCAATTTTTAAAATATTACTAAACTTATATTGTATCTACTTAAAAGCTATACATATATATGAGCATGTGGTAGAAAAAACTTTTTTTCGAGATTCGATATCATTTTTATTACAATGTGACGTTTCTGAAAATTACACCCACTAATTACAAGTCTAAATTTTACTATTATAAGATTGGTTAATAGAATCACAATTGAAAAAAGTACTTCTGTAAATGCAACCCTTCAAGCTTAAATATTTTCACAATTAATATTATAGAAATAGTTTTGCATGACATTTCTGAGGAAAATATATTGTGAAATTAAAATTTCAATTTACTAAAATAATTCAAGTTCTCCATTATAAACTTTCAGCCTATAGTTTAACTTAAGAAACTCATTCTGAAAATATGGATATTGGAAAGCGCAAAAGTCTTATGTCACCAGCTACGCAACGAAAAGTTGCAAAGCGGATTAAAGCACTGAAATTGAAGAGATGTATCAGGTAAGCACAAATATGTTCAGATTATTGGTTTTTAGGTATATGTGTATATACTGAATGAACTAATATAGACTAAAACCATAATAGTGAGTGGCTGTACTTAATTGATATCGGAGCGACTAGTTCAACATAACCTATAAACATTGCGGGATTTGTCTCGCAATTGTAAAATTGTAGAATAGCATTTTAGAATCGACAATTCTATTTCTTTTCTAATATCTAATATCTCTTAAGTATCAATATTTAAAAATTTATTATTGATCTATGACATCATGTTTTGAAATTACTTTATTTTATGATTTAAGTTCTCACTTCTCAACTGACGATGAAAAAAATTCAAGTGTTAATACCTCAGGTAGGCACAGCCAATCTTCTAGTAACTCTGTTAAAGAAGACGTCTCAAAGAATAAATCAACTAAAAGAAAACATTCATCACATCGATCTTCTGTTTCAAGTGGTTCATCCACCTCAGAAACTGGTAGTTTATCAAACTCATCTGGTAGTTCATCTAATACAAGTAATTCATCAAATTCTGGTAAGTCAAAAAAATATAAATTCAACCATTTAAGAACACTCCAGTTCTTTTTAACGTTGTTAAAAATTATTCTTTAGAATCGTCAAGTGCCAGTCAATTGAGTGAAGAGAGCAGTTCATCTGACGATTCCAGTATCGAAACAGGTAATTTTTGTAAGTTTTGACAATTTAACAGAATTTAATCTTCGCACATAATATTTTCATTAGGTCAAGTTACAAAAAATAGTACTCCTAGTTCCACTACTCCTAAAAATTGTGACTCTGAAGCTAATCGTTCTGCTTTTCAATCCATACTAAGCCGTTCAAAAATTTCAATAAATAAAATTCGCCGCACAGTTACTATGAGCCGTAATGCTAGTTCCAATACTTGTAATAATGCAAGTAACTCTTCCACTTCGGGTTCTGAAGATGGCAGTAGAACAACTGCTCGCCGCTCTATAATTCGTCTAACCAAACGTACTCGCCGTTTAAAAAGTACTTATTCAATCGGCACTGACAGTTCTAGTAATTCGTTGTCTTCAACGACATCCAAAATGGTTAGTTATTCTAGCTCTAAAAGTTCAAGTTCTACAGATGAGTCTGTTCACCCTCAACGTCGTAAAAGATGTGCAAATTATGGTGGACCAGCATCAACATCCCTAAAACGGTATGGAAATAGACTATGTAAATATAATGTTTCTCAGTACAAACACGCCAATAAAGGGTATCCAAAAAGAAAAAATTCACGTGTGAGTATAAGTCTAATTTTTGAATATCTTTGATTATACTTGGTTCATAATAAATTTTTTCTGTATTTAGAAAAACCCAAAGCCAAATAAACGTATCGTTGTGTTCGGGCTGAGTCCACTTACAGGAGTGCTTAACTTACGTTTACTCTTTCAGCAATACGGTAAAATTAGATATGTGAAAATCATCAAAGACCGTTTGGTAAGTAATTCTATTTACTAAAAGATATAGTGAATAGAGTATTTTTCTGTTTTATTGCAGACAACCCGTTCTAGAGGTTTCGCTTTTATCAAATTCAAACACAAATCGGATGCCCAAAAAGCTGTTGCACGTAGTCAGAATATGAATATTAACGGTTGGATTGTGCGTCCAACTTTCTCGCTAAATTAATAACCATAAACTTATAGTGATGGTTTCAGACCCACATTTTATTAAACCGAAGAGAAACTAAAAATTATGCTAAAAAAATGCGGGTCTACTATTATCAAGGAAAACATAAAACCATTTAGTTGGTCTCTACGACTACCTAAAATAATTTGCTATTGTTTATATAAATCAGTCTAATTTCCTATTTCCTTTTTTCTTTTAAAACTTTTATCATTTTAAATTGTGTTTAGCAAAACATTTATTTTTTTGTAATTGAAACATACTAATTGCAAGATTTAAAAACTTCAATCATCTATTCAAAGTTTGTAACTTAAAGAATCCTCATATACTTCAAATAAACATACGCCTACATACATTGTTATTATTCTTTTTGATTAGTTAATTATATATATAAATATCATGGATAATATGGTACTAGAGCAAACTACAAAGTTTATGCCAATATCTAAATATAATTAACAGACGATTATCAATTTCGTGGTCTTAATTTGAAAGTAATTACTTCAGTATCAAACACTACCAATCCTAGATGCCAAACAGAACATTTATCTAAGACATCATGCGATTAATATAAAGTTAAATATTTCACATTAAGGATAGTTTAACAATTGTTAAACGTATTAAAATTGTATATATATATATTACTATATAAATGTATGAAGGCTCATTTTTGTTTGATAAATATAGACTCTTGACCAAGTAACCTACAACGGGATCTTCGTAAAAGTTTTCAATGCAGGTGTATACTCTAAGAGATGAAACACTAAAAAGCTTCTGCGCCTTCTTCTCTCTTATAGTGTCTTCCATAATTTTTGGCAACTTCCGTGAGATTTGATCTCACGGTATAGAATCTTCAAAACCACTTCGAAACGATTATAAGCCATAGTACATTTTTTTCATATACTGTTTGGCATCCAATAATTATTTGCACGGGCTGAAGATTTTGCAGAAATTAGTAAAAAATGGCAAACTTGATATCTTTTTGCGAATCAGTGGACTTTTTCCACTCTCTTTATAAAAAATGTTTATTGATTTAAATATTTGAAATTTACTACGCTTTGAGAACTTAGTGGACTTTGGTTAGTCCCTCCATATTGTCCGGTAATAAAGCTGCAATTTAAGCTTTAAGTTCAGCCGGCACGACCTCTTTTCTAGTAAAATATAATGAAGGAAATCTAACCATTTTAAGCAAACGGTATAACTTATCTAAATCTAAGTCCTAATTGTGCCAGAGGTCTGGATATAAAGACGGATCTAAAATAACCGACCAACTAGCAAAGAAAAAATCTCTCATGCAAGAAATTACAGGACTAATACTCATACAGCTCAACTCAATTAAACGAGACACTCACACCACATATATTCAAATAGCGAATTTTGTACAGTAACATCTTACAACATGTGAGACTAATATAACACTATGGCCGGATTACAATTTCAAATGAATAATAAAGAGAAATAGAAAATAACTTTCTAGCGGCAGTAAATACTGGTTTTTAGCGGAATAGGCAGACCTAATGGGGAATCCATAACACTATTTACTGTTACTATTATAATCAAATAAGAAGAAAAACACGAAAACTATTTCTTATTTACTGTGTTATTGCCCTGCTCTTGGGAGAAGATAGTACCTCTACTTGGTACGCTGCTATTCAATAATCTTAAGAAACTAACGTTTCACATATAAGTGAAATTCACTATTTAGTGTCATGTGGGTAAGAACTATTCCCTAAGCTCAAGCGGGAATAGTCCGATTGAAAGAATAAAACCGAATCACTGCATGTTTTGAAGGTTATTTTGAAAACTTACTTTAGCAATTGCCCACAGGACTTAAAAAATATTGGCATATATGTGTTGTATAGAAAGAGAGCGCTCTTAAAGATATGATAGAGATGTATAAGAGTAAATGAAAGTTTTAAAGTTATAAACAATTTCACCATATGGGATGGCTACATGGTCCTATTCTTGTAGTCACACATTATTGGCAGCTTCTAGGTGATGCTGACAGCTTCTATCGCAGTTTCATAGTAAAAGCAAAGGTGAACTTGGACAAAGGTCGAGTTTTCTATTCAACAAATTCTATGGTCTAGCTTGGTTTTTTTTTTCTAATCACAAAAAAGTCACATAAATTGTATATGTGTAGGAGTACATAGCCAAAACGTTAAGACTTAGAATGTGAAATTATTTTTAATACATTTTTTTTTCGTATAGATTAATTATCACGATATTATTTTTGTTATTACTCATAAGTAACCACATGTTACATATATTTATTTCGAAATAGTTATTTAACGAAAAAAAAAAAATCACCATTCAGAGTTTTTTTTTTAAAAAAAATTTAAGTAAAAATGTTTATACCACAAACATTAAAAATATGTTAAAAGCTTTTCCAGAAAGGAAATATTATTAAAGTTGTAAATTTGTTCCGTGCACGTAATGGACCACAATGAGAAAATCTGTACAACCAACGCCGCCACTACAACTTTGTCACCCACACACGAATTCCGACACGACCACAATTCCATCGGAATACTTGCAATCTCAGGAATTTTAAGGCAAACGTTTTGTGGTTTAAATGAAAATACGGCTCCTTCTTCTTCAGCTTCTTCCTCTTCCACATCTCCTTAGTACCTATAATAATTTCACGTATCCACATTCTTTACAATCTAATTTGTATGCTCTGCCATATGTCACCGCAAATTTATAACAACAATTGAAATATGCAGTTTCTAATTAATTTTTTCACTCTCACGCCTGCCTCGGTACCTCGGAAATATTTAATGAAAATCTTATAAATTGTCAATTTAAGAAATGTGGAAAAAAAATTTATTTTTGCGAAATTAATTAAAAAAGTATTTTTAAAACATAATTATGCGTGATTTACAAAAATAAATTCATAGAAAATTTTAAGAAGTTTTGTTACCTTCACTCTTCAATTTGAAGTCACGAGTAGTCGTTTTTTAGTATACATAATTGATTTTAAGTATATCACTAACTAACTAATATATATACCTTTATGTTGAACATAGCTAGAAAGATTGATGGTACACTTAGATACACAGATTTCTTGTCATTATAGTTTATAGCTGTAGAGGAGGATATATTTTTGATAAGTATATTTTGACATGTGACGACATTCTATTAATAATATAGAAATAGCAGACCACGACAGACATTAAAAACATGATGTCAAAACTTATAACATACTTTGTAAAGGGCTAATATCCATGCCATTATTAAGCAAAATATCTTTAACTCTATTTGAAGTCATAAGTTTGGATGTCGTCGAAACTACACAGTTACGTACGTATCTATCCAGTCAAAATGATATAATATATATAAAAATATAGATTCATTACCTAAAAATGTCTACAAATGTTAAAAATAGAGTTAAGCAAATGTATTTAGACTCTACTGAGAGTCACCAGCTATTATAGTCCGTGATTATTACTTAATCATGCAATATTTGTTTGTATTGTTTGTATATAGAAATGATATTGCAAAATCATTCGATATGTGGTGTCATATCAATTCGATACGTCATAAATTATTTTTCTTGCCTGTTAGTGCAAACATACAACACGACTAATCATACTATTGAGAAAAGTGTGGTTTGTCAAGTTACTCGACTACGCGAAATTCGATTATGCCAATATTATTCTTAATATTCTTGATGCCACACGAACCATAATAACTACTTTATCTACGGTAGCATATCATCTATATATAGATCTAACATTATAATCTGCACTCGAGTACCAGCCATCACTTTTCTTCAACGACTAACAAAGTTCAGTAACAGAGTTAAAGTGGGAATATCCGTACCACTTCATTCCTTTCATGCAAATATTAATGAATTATGTCACGTCCCCAATTTTTTTTCATTTCCAATAAACTTTTTTATCTCGATTTCTTTATACGAAATATATCATGGATATATTATTCAGGAAAATATTTATAGTTTATTACAAAATTTATTAAATAAGGTTAAAATTTTCGTTTACAAAAGAGGATGCAGCGAGTGCTACATCTCTGTTGCTTAATGTATTGTATGAGTCCAGTAATGTTTTTTAAGGTCACAGCTAATCTTGTTTATTGGAACCTTATTAGTCGTTGCGGTTGTTGAGATGGATTGAAAAGTGCTGGAGCTAAAACATTCGGGCACTACCAAGTAATTGTTGGGTTGAAGTATCTATACATGATAACTGTATCGTCGGCGAATGTTACAATAAATATTTCCGTGGCATTGGTCAAATCAGGTGTACATACCTATTATAAAAAATTGGTCTTACCTTGTGGAACGCTGGAATAGATGTTACATAAAATTAACAATTACTCATTTGTTTTAACAACAAATTGATTATATAACTTAAGAACAACATAATATAGGTTGTACCTTTCTAATTTTATACAGTATTTCACCATGGCAGATTTTATCAAAGGCTTGCTTGATAGCTAGATATACTAATGGGCTGTATTTTTAGTTTTTCATTACAGTACGGATAGTTCTGTAAGTTACTTATATCAATTAATAGTTTTATTTTAGAGAGAAAGATTATAACTGATTAAAGGCTAATTGGTTTTTAAGGCGTCACTTATTCCAAAGACTATCAAAACCAAAGGTTTTAATTAAATAAAATCTTCGACTTATATGTACTACTTACATCAACTGCAGATAAAGAAAAAACCAGATATAAATTATTATATGATGTATAAAAACACAATGGTAAGGTATCTCGTCTTTGGTTTGTTGCAGTGTTAGCAAAATCATTGACGATTCCAAGAAATGTTTGATCTCTAATATCGTGAGATCAAAATCACAGTGCTATTATCCTTTGGTACATACAAAGTGATTATTTTATGCAGATAAATTAAAATGGTTTAAATCATAATTTTAATGAATACTTTTACATTGAGGATATTATTCGTGAGATTGGGTCTTAAACACCGATAATGTTATAGTATATTGAAGTTAGAAATTGTATTTTCTGATATATTCTATCAGTAACGCTTCCGATTAAATTAAATTAATTCCGCTCCAAAAAAAACACCTGATAGATACTATAATGTAATTTATATATTTTCATCACATTTGTGGCTTTTGGGTATAAATGTATATAATTTTAAATATATAAAGAGAAAGTATAATTGTGAAGGTATTTAAAATAATGATATTTATTCAGGCATGAAAAAATTTTGCTAAACGTAATTTGATATTGAAAAAAGTCTGGAGAAATTTTAAGCATCTGACAATGTTTTTAAAACAGCAAATATGAAAGCATTTCACAAATTTTCGTCCATATATTCATCGTTCACACCTAATAGTTCGAACAAACAAGAGATAGTTGGTAATAATCTATGTGTACAGTGCTTTGGGTTAAGATGAACGAGAGATCAAGCTTAAGTGGTGCCATTAGAAATTATTCACTTCAAGTTATAAGGTTTTTTCTGTTATTCTCTTGCCTTTATATATTTCGTAATATTCAGTGTTCCTATTTGGTGTTCTTCTTGAGAACATTCATGTTTTCTAGTCTAGCTTCTTTTTGAAAAAATTATATTCCTCTTCATCTATTTCATCTGTTTCTTTATGTTTATATGCGTTCCGCCTTGTTTGGTTTTGATTACTTATTTTAGTACTATGTTTTCCAATTTGGTCTTCATTTTCAGTATCTTTGTCTTTTTTATTTTTTTGAGCTCCATGTTTATTATGCTTGTGTTCTTTACGTCTAGTTTGATTTTGTTTACTTATTTTAGTACTATGTTTTCCAATTCTGTCTGCATTTTCAGTATCTGTGTCAGAGTCTAGATGTCTGCCCATTGTATTATAGCCTGAACGTCTACTGTTTACTTCAATTTCTTCGTAGTCATATTCATCTTCATCTTCTTCCTTTTTATTTTTTTGAGCTCTATGTTTATTATGTTTGTGTTCTTTTCGTCTAGTTTGATTTTGTTTACTTATTTTAGTACTATGTTTTCCAATTCTGTCTGCATTTTCAGTATCTGTGTCAGAGTCTAGATGTCTGCTCATTGTATTATAGCCTGAACGTCTACTGTTTCCTTCAATTTCTTCGTAGTCATATTCATCTTCATCTTCTTCCTTTTTATTTTTTTGAGCTCCATGCTTATTATGTTTATATTCTTTCCGCCTAGCTTGATTTTGTTTACTTATTTTAGTACTGTGTTTTCCAATTTTGTCTTCATTTTCAGTATCTGTGTCAGAGTCTAGATGTCTGCTCATTGTATTATAGCCTGAACGTTTATATTCTTTCCGCCTAGTTTGATTTTGTTTCTTTATTTTAGTACTGTGTTTTCCAATTTCATCTTCATTTTCTGTATCTGTGTCAGAGTCTAGATGTCTTTTCATTGTATTATAACCTGAACGTCTACCATTTTGAGTATCTTCGCCACATCTTCTTTGTCGTTGTTTTGTATTATAACCCGAACATATGCCGTCTTCTTCAATTTCTTCGGAGTCATATTCGTATTCATCTTGATCCTTTTTATTTTTTTTAACTCCATGACTTTTGTGTTCATTTTTTATATATTCACCATCTCTATCTTCTTTGTTACTTTTCCTGCAGAAATAATTTAAAAACTTAGTCCACATGCTATCTTGTTCAGGTTCATCGGGACCGGTTTTTTCGTGTCTGGAATGCTTAGTAGGCGTTTTGTATTTCTCCATTTTTTTTTTTAATCTTTTTTCAATTTTTTCGGAAGTTTTTTTTAATTTTTTAAGTTCTTTCTCAACCTCTTTGTCTGTGGGTGCACTGCAATTTTTCCCTCTTTGTTGCATATCTATTTTCCTCTTAACTTGCTGTTGTTTTTTTCGAAGCTTTTTTATATCCTGTTTAAGTTTTCGGCTTTCATTTTTATCTTCTTCATACATATCTTCAGGTGTCTTTCCCGGAATATTATTTTCACACTGAAAATAACCCAATTCCCTCATATTGTTCATAAAAGCATCTCGAACATAACGTGCACATTTTGCAGGAAAGCCATCTGAGTCAATAACACAGGTAGAAATATTTTTGGCTTGATCACGGATTAATTCTTGCATTGCTATTACATAGTCTTTAACAGTGGCCATCCTCTCCCATTGTTTCGGGTCATCTAAAGCACTTTTTATCCAGTTTTTCCAATTTTATTTATACTCATTATCCCTTAAGAAAACATCGTATAATTCTTGTGCTATCTTTTTGGATGGTTCCTTACTGTAACTTAGGCCTTCTCCAGACATTTTTCGTTTTTATTGTAAGGATGAAAAGAAAATTTTTAACCAAATTCTACATGCTTATTAAATTACTGAATATTTGAAATCAAAAGTAATAAAAAAAAAGATTAATAAAGTGATAAATTTATTTTTGTGATGACATTTAATTCCTTTCATAATTCAGAACTTAAAGTTTATAAATTTTAATTTATTTCCCGTAAGTGACGTAGTCTTAGTTCCCCGTAAAATATAAAAATTTATTTATTATTTAATAGTAATTTGTTGATAACAGACCTTAGGCCTTAGACCTGATGTTTATTAAAATGTTTGTGACGCTTTAGCTGATATGTTGAAATTTATGTATACTTCATGAATATATTAATGCACTGATCAAGTCCAATCCATTTAGCTATAAGCCTTACGAATCCATTCAGTTCTGGTCCTTTTATTTTTTAAAAGAGTTAATAAAAAATCACTGCAATAAAAATGCAGTCTAAAACTGGTAAGTTGATTCGATGAAAATTAAATGAGGTATATTGTAGTATTAAGGAACTTTACTTCGAGATCCTGTAATTAGAATACAGATGTCTTGATTTCGATGCAAATAAAGTGAGGTATGATGTTGTATTTGGGAGCTTGACTTCGAGTTCCTGTAATAAGTTCCTGTAATGCATCTACCAAAAACCGGGTTCAGTTTTGTGGTAGATGTTACCTTGTGGGCTAACTTAAACGTTCTTGAGAAAAAGTGTTCATTTTCCAAGGCAGTGTGATGTGTTTAGATTACTGTTTTGGGAGTACAATCAAAAGTTAGTAAATCAATTCGAAAACGATTATATGAGGCTCAAGAATGGTTTTTGAAGGATTGTGTTCATATTTTTAGAAGAGATTAAGTTGAAAGTTTTTTGAGTTGTGTAGAGATATAACGGATTATAAAAATAAGAAATTTATTTTTCATTCTTTTTACTAAGAAATCTAAAACTCGCATTATTTAATGACAGCACATATTATCGCGTACAACAGATTCATAGAAATTAAGTTTTACAATGGAAAATTTGTGTCTTATTATCAACCAGCAATTCATAGCACTTTTTTTTTAATATATATTATTTTTTATTTGTTGAACTTAAAGTTAGAACGTTTTATGTTAATTGCGTAATTATCAAGGAGTTTCGTGTAAGTTGTAATCAAGGAGCTGTTATTCCACAAAGTCGAAGTATCTTGTATGTTTTTGATGTTAAACTGTTTAGCACATTTGTGCTTAAATTGCCATTAAAACTTTCAGGTTGCAATTGTGAAAATTAACATTTTCATCTTTGATATGGAAGAACTTTGCACGGGAAGAAATGGCGGATGTCGATTGTTAGAACAACTGAAATTTTACAATTTTCGTGCTGCAGGAGTCAATTATCTACTATACCTACATTGAACCGACTAAGATCCGAAACGCATACACGTAATTTGGCATTCAAATTCGAAGAGGTTGCGGTATAAATTTTTAGTGTCAAAAGTTATTAAAATTTTCACAACGTGCTTTTATGATGAAATTACAAATTTTAAAGCAAAACTGGCAAGTTTCTTTCTGGTTGCTACTTCGATTTCAAACTGCAAATATATTTACATTTAATCCTTTTTGCTGCAAAAATAATAAAAAAAGGGGCAAATAATTTCAGAACTTTACTTTGATGTTCGAATTGATTTATTTATCTCAAATTCCATCTTTTTTATATGCAGTCTGCAGCGATAGCGGAAACTCATATGCTCCATCCTTCAAGCGCAGCCAGAAGCGATATTTACTTCCAAAATCAGTTGCCTTTCTCACTTAATGTTTGCACACTGCAGAGTCCTGTAGAGTTTCTGTTGCCGAGTCCTTCGACTATGCACTCGCATGCGGAATGCATAAATTTCACTGCTTAGTGGCTCTGCTGTACATGCATAAATAAATTTCATTATTTTAAGTATTGAATTGCAGCGCGGAATGCGCTATTCCAGAATGCAGATACCGAATTCTGTGAAACATTCGAATGCAGTGCTTTAATTGCACATCAAAGCGCGTTGCTCTTGAATTGAGGTTTTTATTGTTGCATGCTAAGTTCAAATTACTGCAATTTGAATTCGGCAACACAAATCGGATAACTAATTTTAATCAAATTTCAAATCATTTTGAAAACTTTTCGTTTTTTTCATTTATTTATTGTACAAACCAAAGTATATTACAGAATATTGAAAATATTTTAATTAAAAATGTTTTACATTTGCTTTGCAAGTTATGAATTTACGGGAGATAAGTCTCCAAGTATAAAGGCAATCCCTATTTAAAGAATTACTCACAAGAATAAGTATATTAAGATATAATATAAGTAGGCAATATTATGTTTATGAAAAACTTACTTATCGTGAAAATGTAGTCAATTTTGATATTGTGGTCTGATTTAAAAAATATGGTTAAGCAGCTTCTAATAGCTCGACAAAACATCGAACATTTATAGTCGATCTTGATTGCTTTAGACCTCAGTTACACGAATTTACATCAAAAATGGAATATCAATTGGTATGTAAACAAAACAAACGAAGTAGCAAAACATTGCTTCCATTGATTAATGCACCATTTGAATACATATGTGGAGTGATTCTTTAAACAGTATTAGGTGTTGGTTCTTCAATAGAAACACTTTAATGTCCACATCAAGATAGTGACATTTGCTGGTTAAGAATTGAAAGTGATATTTTGAATATTGACAAATCTATCTAATGCGTTTTCACATAACAATAGAGTTACAGATGCTATATATCTGAATATATATATAGCCTACCTGTGTATTTGCCAGTAGTTATAAGAACCAGCAATCAGTTTAACATTATATGATCTGATTTTTATAGATGTCGTATTATTGAGACTTTTAACAAATCTTGATAATATGAATCAAGATGATTAAATGTAATTAAAGTTACATTGTGAGTCCAGGAAATAATTGATTGAGAAGAATGTCTTAATGCAAAGAATATATTCTATTTATTGTAAAATTAATTGCTTAGTATATAAGAGCCCTACACACTAATGAATGTATTGTATATTTGTTCGCCATATGGATGTCGTTTTACAGCCTCTAAGAATAAAAATAAAGAATGTTGCCGAATTAAAAGATTAAGTATTTCTTCAAGAAAAGTGGAAGCGACGTAAGTATACCCTATAAGCAGTTCAGAGTTGTAGATCCATGTTTTATGGATTCATGGCCTGTAATAAATTTAATAATGAGATTATGACTCTCATTATATATATATATATATATATTAATATATGAATATACAATATATATAATATACATATATATACAATATATATATATATATATTATAATATAATATTATTTATATTACCTTATGAGGTTCTGTTCGTTTTAGTCTTCTCAGTTCATTAATAATATCCAAAACTTGAATAGGAAGTTGAATAGCTTCTACATTGGTCTGAGTAGTCGTTTTTCATGTCTAGCAGCTACTTCTTGTATGGTTTCTTTGACCCTTATACCTTTGAAGTCCTTATGTATTTCTTAGTTTCTTACATATCGATTTGCATTTGTAATAATCTGCAAATATTTGTTTTGGCTTCACTGTATGATTTGTTGCGTTCAGCTTCATAGTTGTATGCTATATATCCAAATCGATTTTATGACAGATAGATAAATTAGCTTTTTACAATATAGGTAGGTTCAGTGAAAAATGAAGTCTTTCCAATTTTACGTGACTGATGCCAAACCCTATGCACTACCTAAAATTAAAGTTCTAAGAATAGCATTCGCTGTACGCACTATTAGTTCATTATCTATCGGATGCTAGGTAACTATTCAGGGATGCTACGTTGAAGTTATGTGACAATTTGAATTAAGTACGGCAAGAATTGCGCAAAAATTTTATAAGATAAATCAAATCAGATACATTCTTTTATGTACTCGCTCCCATGGTCTCCCGATAGGGTCTATAATCTTCGGAATATATAAGATGAAAAAATTGGGAGTTTAATAAAAAGCTATAGAGAAGCACATCACACCATTTAGATTACTATATTGAAATGTAATTGACTGACTGGGGTGGTCAATTCAAAAGTACAAAGTGTCAATTTAATTACTTATATATAATCGAAACTGCTTACATAGTTTTGAGGACTTAAAGGAACCATTCATTTATTCAAACAGAATATGATTCAACTGATTTATGTTCTTTTATTTAAACAATTATTTTATTTGTATAGATTCGTATAATTACTGGCATCCATTGTGGTTTCTCCAAATTCTTGGCACTGCTGACGTCAAATCTTTTTAATTAAACAACAAGAACTTAATTGTTTTCCCACTTTATTGGGCGTGGTTATGTGTGCATTATGTAAACTGGAGAACGTTACATTCGAATTTTGAACAAAAAAATCATATTTAATTTAATTCATGGATGACTACATGCCACAGCACAACGCATCCTTGCAGTGCTGGTGAGTATGGAAATGCTTTTCGCACATTGTATGCGAAGCAATAAAATCTTTTTATGCAAGCATTTTTTGTACAAAAGCAATTATTGCGGATATTGCACAATAAATGCAAGCAGATTTATATGAAAATGCAATTTTTGCCACAAAAGCTTTCAGGCGAACACAAATGTGGGATTTTTAAGAGCACAAAGAAGACTCAATGCAAAATTTTGATTACTCAACTTGAAATTTTCGAAATATTTATGCATAAAAAATTTTTAAGATTTTTGTATATACAATTTTTTAACATAAAACTATTTAATTGGCGGTTTTGTTTTATTTTAAATAATTTAAATTGTATTATATAAAAAAAAAATTTATATACCATAAAAAGACTCAAGCATTCTTAAGAATCTTATTTGTAAGGATTGAGATAAGAATATTACTTGAGATAAGTGACACTGAGTTGCTTACTTAGAAGGAATAACATATTTGTGGAAAATTTTGTGAATAAAAAACAAATAAATATTTAAAAAAATTTGTTTAGTGAAAACTTAATAAAAACAGACTGGCACAGTAGTGTTTTTAAATAATAATTATTTTTAGAGACTTCAGCTATGTTGTGTAACTAAGAAGTTTTTATTTACATTCACGATGTTCTTTAAC